CATGAAAGCATGGGCAAGTGGACGTCAACCATAGCTATGCTGGTGGAGCACAGAGCTGACACCAGTGGAAGGGGCTGAGGGGGTGGCTTCCCAAGCCTTGCTCAGGCCCTGGTGGAGCGATTAAAACAGAATGGGGGCAGGCAGTGCAGTTTTTCAGGAACCTTAAAGTTTATTCTTTATTTTGAGCCTTTTCCCTACTTTTTTTAATGCTCTTTTATAAAAGCGCTAGAATAGTTGTGGTGTTTTTTTGTTTTTGTCCCTAGGTTACTTGAAATTTTACTGGTGCTTGAGATCCCCTAGTCTGAGACTGACTGGACTTCAGCACTAGATGGGAGTGCATTGTTTCTATTTCCTGTTTCTAAATCAGAGGTTGACATAGGCCTGGGAGCCAAATATGGCCCACTGCCTATGCATGTAAATAAAGTTTTATTGGCACCTAGCCATGCTTATTTACTTACATATTGTCTAGGGCTGCTTTCAAGCTACGATAATAGAATTGGTTAGTTGTGACAGGTCACATGGCCTACAAAGCCTAGAATATGTGCTATCTGACCCTTTTAAAGAACTTTGCTGGCCCTTCTAAATTGTACTGTCAGAGAAAAAGGAACTTATTTATTTGAAAATTGCTGCCTCCCAAAATGATTCTCAGCTTTTAAAGTCAAGCTAGTAGTGATTTGGTGGGGGTGGGGGAGCAATGACTGGTGGAGGCTTTTGGAGGGCTGATCTCTTTCTTTCTTTGGGTGCTGGTTACATGATGAATTCATGAAACATATCTTGTTTGCTTTTCTAGTTGTGTATTATGCCAATAAAAACTTAGAAAAACATTACTGCCTCCTGTTGGAGCCTAAACGTGAACTCTATTTCTCCTAGACATCAACGAATGCCAGTCTTCACCTTGTGCCTTCGGGGCAACCTGTGTGGATGAGATCAATGGCTACCGTTGTGTCTGCCCCCCAGGGCACAGTGGTGCCAAGTGCCAGGAAGGTATGTGGGCCAGGCCCCAGCTGCCCATGTGTCCTTTGGGGTGAGTGGGTACTCCAGTCAGCACAGTCACCTTTTTGACTGTGAGTAGGTATTGTGCTTAGGGAGAAAACGCAGAGGGGGGATGTAAAGTGGGGACCAAAGGGAAGGGGAAACTGTGAGAGGTCCCCTAAAAACAGGGTAACTGTTTAGTTACCTTTGCCGCAATCATGCTATGTAACAAATCATCTCAAAACTTGGTGGCTTACAGAAAGCATTTATTTGTATTCATAGGCATGCAGAGCGGGCAGAGGGATAGGTGCTGTGGTTTGGGCTCAGGTCTGTTCTTTGTCCCTCCTCAGCCTCCCTGGACCAGCAGCTGCATCCGGGTCATGTTTTTTTTTCCTGGCAAATGGCAAGCTTGCAAGAGACTCCGCTTATATTCCTTAGCGTTGCCTTGGCCGAAGCAGGTCACATGGCCATGCATAAAGTCAGCAGGGAGGGAAGTACACTCCCCTCTCTTGGAAGGAACTGTTGTCATGTGGCAAAGGGCACGGGTGTAATCATTTCCTAACAGGAAAGGAGTAAAGAAGAATCAAGAGAAAAGGAAAGTCCTTCTACTCACGCGTCTCTGCCTTTCAGTTTCAGGGAGATCTTGCATCACCATGGGGAGTGTGATCCCGGATGGGGCCAAGTGGGATGATGACTGCAATACCTGCCAGTGCCTGAATGGAAGGATCGCCTGCTCCAAGGTAGGATGGGAGGGCTGCTGCAGGTCACTTGAGTTCTGGAATTGCCGATGGGTATATCTTCTGAGCTGCCCACTCTTCTCTCTCTCTCTCTCCAGGTCTGGTGTGGCCCTCGACCATGCCTGATCCACAAAGGGCACAATGATTGCCCCAGTGGGCAGAGCTGCATCCCAATCCTGGATGACCAGTGTTTTGTCCACCCCTGCACTGGTGTGGGCGAGTGTCGCTCATCCAGTCTCCAGCCAGTGAAGACCAAATGTACTTCTGACCCCTATTACCAGGATAACTGTGCAAACATCACATTCACCTTCAACAAAGAGATGATGTCCCCGGTATGGAACAACCTCTTTTTCATTTTGGAATGGTGTGTGGCTGCATGTACTAAGGCAGGAGCATCACAAGCTGGGATCTAGTTCTCTGTAGCATGACTTGAATGGTAGCCTAACTTGCAAGGGAACATCTGCCTTTTTTCCTTCCCAGTATCTTACATATGTGTGGACTTTTAAATATCATTCTAGGGTCTTACCACGGAGCACGTTTGCAGTGAGTTGAGGAATTTGAATATTTTGAAGAATGTTTCTGCCGAATATTCAATCTACATAGCCTGTGAGCCTTCCCCTTCTGCAAACAATGAAATACATGTGGCCATTGTGAGTATAAGATCCGTTCACAATTATTTGATTGCAAGGTAGCTAGCAAACTTCTGTTAGCCAGTATCAGAATGGAGCAGATATGTCTACGGCCATGCTACCCTGAACAAGCTCGATCCTGTCTGATCTCGGAAGCTAAGCAGAGTTAGGGTTGGGCCTGGTTAGTACTTGGATGGGAGACTACCTAGGAAGACCAGGTGCTCTAGGTGTAAAAAATAAAAAAAATAAAGGGATTGTAAGCTGACAAGGTCCTTGCAATCTGTAAGGTCAACCAAGGGTTGCCTCGCCTAAAAAAAAAAGAATGGAGAAAATATATTAAAAGAGAGCTTGATGTGCGTGTGTTATCAAGTAATTTTGAATAAAAGTGACTGTTGAGTATTCCTTAACCCTCCGGTCTGACAGTTTTTATTTTTCCAGTCTGCTGAAGACATACGGGATGATGGAAACCCTATCAAGGAAATCACCGACAAAATTATAGACCTTGTTAGTAAACGTGATGGGAACAGCTCTCTTATCGCTGCCGTTGCGGAAGTGAGAGTTCAGAGGCGTCCTCTGAAGAACAGAACGGGTAGGTGTTGGGTGGGACTGGCCCCTTTTTGTGATGACTGCCAAACAGATCTCAGAACACCATCCAATAAAATTACCAGGTGGGGAATCCCCCGAGAGTCTCCCCGCATTGAACTGGTGAGAAAAAATTAAGGGCGGCTGACATGACAAAGGTCATATGGTGGTGGGCACACTTTTTCCCCTGCCAGCAATTGTGTTCTTGCAAGCAGGCGCCCCTATAGAACATGCCACGTTTTTGGGTCCCTTGCAAAGCCTTAGTGCAGAGCATCACCGTGCTCTTGGCCTGCAAAACCTGCGTTGGCGTTCCGGTGTCGTGTGACAGCTTGTGAGACACTTGTTTGATAGGCGGCTTGATGGCCCTGCAGCATGTCCAGACTCTCCTGTAGATGATCGCAAGCTTCCTTATTCGTTCTAGTGAGGTGAAAAATTAGCGAGGTTCTAGCATGACCACACAGGGCATCGGAGCTGTCTATGCTCAGATCAGCTTTCCGATAATTCTGTAAACCAGACCCTACAGTGAGCTGCCGAAGTAGCCAGACTCCCCTCGATTGAGCCGGAGGCTGCTCTCGCCGCACAAAGATGAGCCTATAGGAGCTGCTCCTCTGCTTGGTCTCTCTGGGACAATAGTGTCAGGGTCTCCAAGGGCCCTGGTTCCAGCCCTGCTGATTAAGATGTGAGTTGACAATATGCAGTTGTGAAAAGGGACTTGTCCCCATGGTGCCCCTTTTAGGGGCTAAGGATAGGAGAACTACTGTTGGTATTCTTTTGCTCAGAGTTAATTGGTTTGGGGCCTGCCTTGCAGATTTCCTGGTCCCTCTGCTGAGCTCTGTCCTGACCGTGGCTTGGATCTGTTGCTTGGTGACTGCCTTCTACTGGTGTGTGCGGAAGCGACGGAAGCCCAGCAGCCACGCCCGCTCAGCCTCCGAGGACAACACCACCAACAACGTGAGGGAGCAGCTGAACCAGATCAAAAACCCCATTGAGAAGCATGGGGCCAACACGGTCCCTATCAAGGATTACGAGAACAAAAACTCCAAAATGTCGAAAATAAGGACACACAACTCGGAGGTGGAGGAGGATGACATGGACAAGCACCAGCAGAAAGCCCGGTTTGCCAAGCAGCCAGCGTACACGCTGGTAGACAGAGAGGAGAAGCCCCCCAATGGCACGCCGGCCAGACACCCAAACTGGACAAACAAACAGGACAACAGAGACCTGGAGAGCGCCCAGAGCTTAAACCGAATGGAGTACATCGTATAGCAGACAGCAGGTGCCACCTCCGCCGCTAGGTAGAGTCCAAGGGCACACGGGGCTATCGTTCTTTAACTGTCCTAGTCCAGTCTGAGGCTGTTGTTGACCTAGAATCCCTGTGTTAATTTAAGTTCTGACAAGCTGGCTTACACTGGCAATGGTAGTTTCTGTGGTTGGCTGGGAATTCAAGGGCTGCATCTCACAGCTATGCAAAAACCAGTCCAAAGTGCCCTGGTGCACGGTCCCTGCAGCCACCACGTCTCGGATCGGCTCCCAGGAGCAGGCCCGGTCCCTAGGCCTTGAGCTTCCACTTCTGCCAGATGTCCCGATGGTGATGCAGTCTTAGGATCATAGTTTTATTTATATTTATTGACTCTTGAGTTGTTTTTGTATATTGGTTTTATGATGACGTACAAGTAGTTCTGTATTTGAAAAGTGCCTTTGCAGCTCAGAACCACAGCAACTATCACAAATGAGTTTATTATTTATTTTTTTTATTGTATTTTGTCGTCATTGGGGGAGGGGGGACTTTGATGTCAGCAGTTGCTGGTAAAATGAAGAATTTAAAGAGGAAAAATGTGTCAAAAGTAGAATTTTGTATAGTTATGTAAATAATTCTTTTTTTTTTTTAATCACTGTGTATATTTGATTTATTAACTTAATAATCAAGAGCCTTAAAACATCATTCCTTTTTATTTATATGTATGTGTTTAGAATTGAAGGTTTTTGATAGCATCGTAAGTGTATGGCTTTATTTTTTTGAACTTATTTTCTTACTCTGTGTTGCCTATAAGCCAAAATTAAGGTGTTTGAAAATGGTTTATTTTTAAGACAATAGGATGGGCTTCTGGAATACTGGTGGATTTTTTTTTTTACACCTCCTATAGCATCACTTTAAAACACATTTTAAGGACTGACTGAGGCAGTTTCAGGATTAGTTTAGAACAGGTTTTTTTTTTTTCTGCTTTAGACTTGAAGAGAGACAGGCAGGCGATCTGCTACACGGCAGTTTAAGGGAACAAGCAGAGCTATGATTTAACGTAGCCAAAACGTGAGTGGTTGAATATCATTAAAAATATCAAATTAATTGTGTGAAGTTGAAAGCACACCAATCTTATTTTGTAAATTCTGATTTCTTTTCACCATTCGTATGTAATACTGAACCACTTTTAGGTTTGATTTTTGTTGTTATCTACTGCATTTAGGGAGTATTCTAATAAGCTAGTTGAATACTTGAACCATAAAATGCCCAGTAAGATCACTGTTTAGATTTGCCATAGAGTACACTGCCTGCCTTAAGTGAGGAAATCAAAATGCTATTACAAAGTTTAAGATCCAAAAGGCTTATAAAACAGTAATTTCGTTGGTTCACCATTGAGACCGTGCAGATACTTTGTATTGTCCTATTAGTGTTATATAAACATAAAAATGCATCTTTGATGTGTTGTTCCTGGCAATAAATTTTGAAAAGTAATATTTATTAAATTTTTTGTATAAAAACGTGGAACAGTGTGGCCTCTTCTGAGCTTACATAGTTCTGCTCGGCGCTGCCATGTGCCCCTGCCACCCCGCTGGGTCCGCTCTGGCGATCGGGGTGTGTGATAAATAGGCCGTGCTTGACAAGGGGCATGAACCAAGAACTGAACCTTTTCAATCACCAAATGCATCAGCTGCTGCGAAGCTGGAGCTGTGAGAGCCCCGTCTTGGGGGCCTTGATACCCCTGTCAGTCAACAGCAAGTGTGAATACTGCTTGAATAAACACCACTGGATCAATGGCCTGCAGCGTGGAGGTGAATTGTTTGTGAGCACTCGGGGGAAATGCCCGCCGCACTAAAAGGGCTTTAAATAGCTTGGAATTGGTATTGGGGGATGGAGAGGGAGACTGAAAGCTTCTTCTCTTTTCCCGACTACTTGGATTAATATTAATGTCCCTCCGTCGTTGTAGACCACATCTTCGTGGGTTTTGTGCACACTTGTGCCTCCACGGGGGTTTCCTCACCGCATTGGAGGTAGTAGTTACATGCTTCTGGGGTCAGGGCCCATCTATCATCACCTTGTTCCCAGGAAGTGAGTGTTCTGTTGGTCTCGCCGTGCAGACTTGGGGTGCCAGATGTCTGGCCTTCCATGGGGTTCCAGAGTTAGGCCATTCCCACCTGTTAAGGGCAAGAGAGCTGGGGTTCTCGTGGCTGCTGGGCCACAGGCCAACATGGCCCTGCCCCCACATCATGGGTTGGGAGCAGGGAGCATTGCCTCCGGCACCTGTACGGTGAGGGACAAGCTGAGGTGACAGGCACATGGACAGCTTCCAGCAGCTGCTTGGAGTTGCCAAGAGTTCCCTGCCTCTGGTTAATAAGCCAAAGCTTATCCTCAGAGCTGTCCCCCAGTACTGCAACATTCAGGCCATCCACCCACCTCCAGTTTCACAGCATAATTCCGACTGGAGCAACAGACTTTGAATGGAAGAAAAACTGATGGGGATGTCTTTCGTTCTTGTGGAACTTTTTCTACCAGGCTAGGAATTGTGTTCTTTGATGAGCACCTTGTTTAAGAGTGGACAATGAATGGGCTTTTAAATACCTCTGGCTCCTTGTGCATGAGCAGGCCATCGAGGGAGTCAGTCCATTGTTGTGTTTTGCCATGTTGGGGAGGCAGCCCAAAGGACCTGGACAGCAACGAGTCTGGATTCCCATGACATCTCCCTGCCCTAGTGTAATACTTTCTGTCACTAATCTCTGCCAGTGAACAGCTGGTTTCTGCAAGGTGGGGTCAGGGAGGGACACTTGCTCTCCTGGTACAGACCCAAGGCTCCGGAAATGGTCTGGTTTAGCAGTGCTGAACTCAAACCATCCTGAAGCAATACCTTGCTCTGGTGATTTATAAACTTGGATTATGCAGGACCCCAGAATTCTTTGGTAGTTGCCAAACGCTTTTGTGCCAAGACAAAACATTTAACGAGCTTCTGTGATTCTTTATTCCAGGAGGGAAGCGATCTTGAGATTCATATGTGTTGCTTTAAGAAGCCTTCTGTCCAGGAAACTCAATAGTGGGAAGGTCGAGATCAGGCTTCTCAGAGCTAGGATGGTTTTCCCCTTTCTCCAGGTAGAGGGACTCAAGCAAGGAAGCCTTGGTTATCCTGGATACAAGGAAGTGAAAAGGAAGGGAAGGGACTCAGTACCTTTCCCATTCCCCATGAACACTGGGCCCTCTTTAAGCAGAACTTTCAGGAAGAGAACTTTCAGTCCAGAAACTTGGCTGACTAGAACTCCAGCATGAGAAGGTACCATGAAATTCAAGCAGTTAACTCGAGCCGATTGTTTTTAGATGGGAAACTGTCCTGAGATTCTAGACATACAAGTAGAATCAGAATAGAAAAGTGGTAGAGGTATATCTTAATTAACTGGCTAAAAGCCCAGTGAGACTGGGTGGTGATCAGAAGCATAACTCGAAAGCAGCGTTTCTCCTAAATGCAGATTCCAAGGCCTGGCCCATGATGCAACAGAAGTGGAGCTAGGGCCTCTATTTTCGAGAGCTCTCCCCTCCTCCTCCTTCCTCCCCGCCTCATGTACAGTAAAATTTGGGAACAACTCTACTAAAGCATGAAGTACTAAAGTACAAGCTCTTCATTAATTACAATGTTTTTCCTCCTTGTTAAACTGAATTAAGTAGCCTGGAAGCCAGTTTGTTGCTAAATTGCCACCTGACATCATTTTTAAGTAAAATAATTACACTGCCCCTTGAGCAAGTTGTGGTCTAAATGCTTTATGTTTACTGGCTGATCTGAGGGGTCAGTGAGTCAAAGTTAACTTACTTGGTAATATTTTTAGGCAGCAAAGAGCCAAAGGAACACCTTTCTAAATGCCGTATACCTGTCTATCCAAAAGTGACCAAGTGTGCATCTAAAGATCAGCTGCCTTTAAAGAAAAAAAAAATCTCATGGACCTTCAGAGGTTTGCAACTTGGGCTGAGCAATGTTCCAGCATTTCCGTTTCGGCTGTGGGTCTCTTTCTTGCCTCTACTGGGAATGAGAAACAGGAGTTCAGAGGTTCTTGGGCTGGGAAGAGACAAGCACATGGGTTATGGGAAGCCTCCTCCTGCTAATGTGTATTTATACTTTGTAAGCTCTGATTCATCCAAGCACTGGAACCGAAATCTGCTTCCTGAGGTTCTGTTTTTAAATAGATAGTTTGCAAAAATAACAATTATTTTTCTTAAGATTTTTTTTCCCACCCCACAAGCAGCTAAACATCCCAGCTCAGCCTAAGTCAGTCTCTAACAATGCCAACAGACAGCTTTGTATTCAGAGGTAGGAAGGGTGCCCGGAGGCAGTTCTGTGGGGTTCTGGCCCCACAAGTCTTAAAAACAAAGTTGAGGCACCATTATAGCAATCTCGTTATGTCACTCCAAAACTATGAGATATTTCTGGTCTATTAAAAATAACAAATTTACCTTTGAACAATTGCTTCCCGGTGATGGTTAAAAGTAAGAGCAAGTTGGGTGATGCTCATGGGGCTGCGGGTGCTGTTGCCTGGCAGCGGAGGGGCCTGCCTGCGTGCCCGCGTGGCACCCTCTGAGATCGTGTCAAAAGGGCGTGGCTGCCTCGCTTTGGACATAAATTCTACCTGTATTACTTGCTCTTGCATGCCTGGTACAACCTTCCTGGCTTGGAGTGTTTCTTTCAAGTCCCAGGCAGCTTTTACAAGTCTTAAATTATGTATCATTATGCACAGGTCCAGTATTAACGAGTAATATGCAAGTTGGGAAGATTAATTTGAGAGTAAACGCTCTTAAATCCAGTAAGAAACTCGAATTGAGGCCTGCCCACTGCCTCCCCCACCTCACTCCATCCCTTTCCCCTGCAAATATCCACACCAGGGCACCCAAGGGTTGAATTATCCAAAGAGCAAAAGCAGATGCCAGCAACATGAAAGGCACAGCTTTGTTTTAAAGAGAAGCTCTCCTGGCAGGGCCAGGGTGGCTCCTCCATGATCCTGAGGGGAATACGAGTTTGCAGCTGGCTTCCTAATGAGTACCCGGGTGCCGCAAAGACTCTCCTGGATCAGAGCTGTGTCTCCTCCAGGGTTTGAATAGAAAGGGCCATCTTCCTAAATCTGAGAGCAATGGTGTTTTCCGAACCAAAGGCAGATTAAGCCCTGTCCCTTTGTAGGTGGTTCCTTTGTTCTTGGGCAGCTTCAGATTTTCATTTTAGTTTCTAGTTTCTGCTTCATAGAATTATAAAATGAATCGCTAGAAAAGAGTTTCAGAAAGGAAAGCGACAGCCCCACTACATCCTACCCCTCCCTGTGCATGCACGCACATGTACGTGTGCACGCGCGCGCACACACACACACACACACACACACACCACACACACACTCTTTACAGTTTCCAGGACAACAGCATTGCTCTCTGTGCACTTGGGACAGTCCTGGCCAGTGGTCAGGTGACTGCAATTATCGTTAGGTTTCATCACACATTCCCTAACCATTCTTGCTTCCCCTGACAGGCTACTTCAAGGTTTTCATGAAAAAAATCACCTGAGTGTTAAAAATATTAAAATCCAAGTAGCTTGAATGTGACAAAGTTCACTAGGTCCAGTGTGTAGTGGGGCCAGCAATGACAGATCTGGGAGTTCCTGAAACTGCCTGTGGGCAGCTCAGCTTCCTCCACCCAACACCCCAAAAAGCCGGCTCTCCCAAGCTCTCCCCACCCGCTGAGGGATTAGGAACGTATCACAGGAGTCATCTTTAACCCACTGTCAGTCATCTTTAACCTATTGTCAGGTGGGCCAGAATTACATATTACACAAAAGTTTCCTATGCGCTGAGGCACCCACGCTGAACTGCTTGGAAAAACCCTGTCCTGGAGAC